TTCTCTCTTTGACATTTGCCTTTTTTTCCCCCTCTCTTCCATTTTTTTTAAAATTCATTTTGCTAAAATCATAATGTGCCTACATTTGTGAACTACTTCTTGAAGCCATCTCAGGAGTACAGCAGGATGTGTCTTTAAGCCTTAATTTTATTTTAATATGCATAAAATTTCATCAAATTGACAGATAACATTTTTTTGGAAATTTTATACTCTACTGATCCCAAATTGTCGGAGGCACGAGAAATTTTAAGAAATGTTGAATACCGCAATCTATACAAGTATTTGGGTGAGACCCAGCCAAATGGACATGACAAGATTAGAAAGGTAAGTTGAGTTGCCAGGTACCCTGCCACTGGTGAAGGGTTATCACAATCTCTGTCCTCAAGGAGAAGCCATTAGTCCATCACAATAAATACGATCTTTGTGTTTATTCTCATTTAATCTTCACAGCAGCACAATATTCTTAGCCTGTTTTACAGATGAGAAACAGGCTGGGGTGAGATTACATAATTGTTCCTGAAAGCACAGTCAGCCAGGATTCAAAGCCAGATCTAGCTAGCTCTAAATCTTTGCTCTCACATTCACTAAGAGCCTCAAATATTAGATAGAACCAAGCAAGGAGGGACAAAAACCCTCAAAATAAAGTACATATGTGAGCTTCAGTAAGACTCTGAGGACCTGTTTTAGCTCTAGTTGACCCTTGAGCAACGCTAGTTAGGGGCACTTACCCCATGCAGTCCAAAATTAACCTATAATTCTTGACTCTTCAAAAATTTACAAATACCAATATCATAACGGTCAGTTCATGTGCATTTTGGATGTTTATGTATGGTGGAAACACAGAAGAGCTGAAAAAGATCACTATACAAAGACACCACTCGATCACTTACTACTACTAAAGCAGCTCACTGATGAAAGGTGGAGATGAGAGGTGTCCCCAGCGCCACTTGCCATACTGGTTCACTGCAATAGGAGGTAACTATCAATAGGTGGAGGCCACGTGTTTTTCAAAATGTGAAGTTTTTGTTCCAAAATTGCTTTATTTATACATACATAGGAGCTATATTTATTGGGGTGTCTCTAACCACATTCTTAATGAAGAGAGAGGCTGATCATGGCATGAGTACTTGATAGAAAACGGTTCTGATTTGGGGAGTCTCATCTCTTCTAGGAAGACTATCAGCGCCTTCCGAAAGACGTTGCCAATGCTAAACCTAGTGAAATAGTCCTGGAAGCTGAGCTGAAGGCTAAGGATTTCATAGTGGATGTAAGTAGTGAGCCCATGAATAGACTAAAATCAAAAATTGTCTTTCAAAATAAGCCTTCCTAGTCAACCGTGGTGGCACACGCCTGTAGTCCCAGCACTTGGGAGGCAGAAGCAGTCAGATCCTTGTGAGTTCACGGCCAGCTGGGGCTACAGGGGGACCCTGTCTCAAAAAGACCCCCCCCAAAAGCCCGCCTTCATTATAAAGGTAGTATATGTTCATTATAAAAACTTGGAGAGGGGCTGGAAGTTCAGGCCCCAGGTTCTGTTCCCACAAAGCCACTAACTGGTTATAACTCCAGTTCCAAGAGATCTGATGCCCTCTTCTGTCCTCTGAGGGCATTGCATGCACAGGTGCACTTATATACTTACATGTATGAAACAAAGCACTCATACATAAAATTTAAAAATCGATCAATAAAAACTTGAAGAGTCTGAAGTGATAGTGCATTCCTGAAATCTCAGCACTCAGGAAGTAGAGTCAGGAGAATCAAATGGTAGCCTGGTCTATATAGTGACTTCCAGGCCAGCCAGAGCTACATAGTGAGAAATTGTCTCAAAAAGTGGGGGTAGGGGCAGAGACACAGAGATAAGTGGCTAGTGAGAGGTGGCTCAGCAATTAAGAGCACTTACTGCTCTTAATTGGACTGGAGTTTAGTTCCCAGCACCTGCATTAGGCGGCTCATAACTACTTGCAACTTCAGCTTCCAAGAGCACCTGGTACTCACATGCACAAAACAAAACACACACACACACACACACACACACACACACATTTTACCAGAGACCCTGTTCCAAACCAAACTAACGAACAACAATAACTATAGGCAAACCTCTGTAAAGGACCGTAGGGCAATTTTTTTAACCTTTACAAAGCCATGCACTCTGCAGACACTACTCATGTTAGTTCCTGTAGTGGAAAATTAGTCATAGGTAACTCATAAAAGAGACCAGCTAGGAGGCTGGGGAGGGGCTGGAGAGAGTTAATACACTGGTTGCTCTTGCAGAGGACCCTGATTCAACTCCCAGCACTTGCATGGCAACTAACAACCATCTACAACTCCAGTTTCAGGGAATCCAACACCCTCTTCTGGCCCATGCAGGCACTGCACAGCACAGGTACACTTACATACATGCAGATGATACACTTATACACATAAAATCAAAATAAATAAGGATAGCTTAAAAATAATTTTTAAAAATTTTGGAGAAATGCAGAAAGAAGAAAGAACCATGTGTGGTCTCAGAATGAAAACCATCATTGTTAACCACTTTTCAAAAATTTCTTTGTGATGTTTTCTCATTTGGTTGTAATTTTTTTTTTTTGGTGTTTTTGAGAGAGGGTCTCCCTGTAGTGGGGGCTGGCCTGGAGCTCATGTAGATCAGGGTGGCCTTGAATTCACAGAGATCCACCTGCCTCTGCTTCCCAAGTGCTGGGACTACAGGCTTGCGCCACCATGTCTGGCTCAGTTGTGATCTTGTATATATTGATTTAAATTATTTGGGTCATGAAAGTACTGCCAATTAGGTTTTTTATTATTTGCCTCCATATATACACAGAGGAAGGAGTTTGGACATTTTATTCCTATTTTCATTTTACCACATTGTCTTCTTGTATTCTGATGAGAAAGCTTTCAGCTTTCCCGGGTTTTCTTCCCTTTCCTGCAGGGATTTCTTTTTGGTAGTCTATTCCTCTGAAATCTTAGGATAGTGTTCCCCTTGTGGTTTTTTGTTTTGTTTCGTTTTTTATTTTTTTGTCTTTTTGAGACAGGGTCTCCCTGTAGCCCCAGCTGTCCTGGAACTCACTATGTAGACCAGGCTGGCCTTGAACTCACAGATATCCGCCTGCCTCTGCCTCCCAAGTGCTGGGATTAAAAGCATGTGCCACCAGGCCCGGCCCCCTTGTGTTTTTAAATATAAGCCTCTTTTTTGTTTCTTGTTGACAAATTATTGAATGAAGGGCAATCTCTCCATAACCTTTCTTTGCCAAAGGACACAATGACACTTGGGAATAAAGGGATCCATTACTTTGACTCCTTGAGACTTGGAAAGATGTCACTTCCTAGCATTCTCCATGGGCTCCAGCCTTCCTACCCTGAGTCTTGTTCTCAGGGCAGGATCAGTCCCTCACTGTCCCATCTGGCTTTTTTCTCAAAGTCCAGCCTCCAAATGGATATACTGACCAAAGACACTTGAGGCTATGAATAGGAGACATTCATATGGCCAGTTGACTTAAAAACAAGTTTAACCTTACAGTGATCAAATCAGTTTGATGCAGCAATGAACATTCTTTACATCAGACTTGCAAGACCAAAGAATGTTATAAAATTCTATGTTAATAAAGGTATATGAAAATGCAGAAGTGTAAATCGGTGCAAGAAGCATATTCTAAAATTGCGATTGACCCAGCAATTTCATTCTAGGACCTTGGTCTAAAGAGATAATCTCACGGTGTTCTTTGGCAAAGAAAGGTTATAGAGAGATTGCCCTTCATGCAAGAATTTGTCAACAAGAAACAATATATATATATATTTAATTTCATGTATATATTTGTGTTGCCTGCATGTGTGTAAGTGCACCCATATGGTGAAATGCCCATGGAGGTCAGAAGAGGGCATTGAATCCCCTATAACTGGAGTTATGGACAGTTGTTAGCTACCATGTGGGTGCTGGGAACTGAACACAGGTCCTCTGCAGAGCAGCCAGTGCTCTTAACTACTGTGCCATCTCTCCAGCCCCAGGAGATAATCTCTTTATGTGCACACCAGCTACTGTCTTCTGGAAGCTTTTGGCATGGTTCCTTTCTGCTCTGGTTCCTGCTGTTATCACTCAGGGACATTTTAGTCCACTAGGAACAAACTAGTTGATCTCTTCATGTTTATTCTTAGTGGCTATGTTAGTTGCTTTTCTCGTTGATATGAGAAAATACCTAACAAAAGCAACTTAAGTAAGGACAGGTTTATTTTGGGCTTCATGGTTTGAGGATCTAGTTCGTCATGGTGGGGAAGGCATGATGATAGGAGCACCAGGAAGCTGGTCGTATTGCATCCACAGTCAGGAAACTGATGAATGCTGGTGTTCAGTTTGCTTTCTCCTTTCTTCCCTTTTTATTTAGTCCGGGACCCCAGCCCATGGGATGGAGCAGCCCACATTCAGGGTAGATCTTCCCTCCTCAGTTAAACCTCTCTGGAAACACCCTCATAAACATGCCCAGAGGAGGAAATTGGAAAAGAAAGGATAAAAGGCAGTGACTGTGGAGGAGTGTGATGCTTAGAGATGGAAGGAATTGTGTACTAGAAGGTTCTCAAAGATAGGCTCTGACCTAAACCAAAACAAAGAAAACTTACCTCAATCATGTGGCTGTTTCTGGTTGTGCCTCAAAAAACTTGCTTACTATGTCATAACTTAACTTTTCTACCATTTTATTTGTATACATATAAGCTTTATTTTTTTGCCTGGCAAATTTTATCTGCATTCTAGCACTCCAAAAGCATTTATTAAGTGTCTATTTCATTTAATTATTTCCAAATAGACATGGTTTTCTTCTAAAAGAGATAATGGTACTAGTAATACATTTATAATTTGCAGTAGAAGAAAATCAGCCAGTCATGGTGATGCACACCTGTCATCCCAGCTACTGAGGAGTCTGAGGCAGGAGGATTGCTTGAACACAGATGAAACCAGCCTGGGCAGCACAGCCATACCCAGTCTTTCTTTTTGTAATTTTGTGTGTATGTGTGTATTGCCTGCATGTGTATTTGTAAGTGCACCGGTGTTGTGCAGTGCCCGCGGAGGACAGGAGAGGCTGTCAGATCCCCTGGAACTGGAGTTACAGACAGTTGTTAGCTGCCATGTGGGTGCTGGGATTTGAACCCCGGTCTTCTGCAAGAACAGCCAGTGTTCTTAACCGCTGAGCCATCTCTCCAGCCCCCTCATTTGTTGTTCTTAGCTCAGCTCATCAGGACCTCCTGTTGCCTTCTCACGTTCTTACAGTCTATCTTTATTCCTCTTTCAATTGAATAGATGTTGTGGTTCATTATTAATAATTTTCTACGGTCACCCTCAACTCCTCACCCTTCTTTTCATCTACCTAGCAAAATCTGGACTACCTATCTAGTGCAGATACTATAGATGAGTTGAAGCTAAACTCCCCACATATATAGCAGCCACACCCATGCCGCCAAAGGTACCACTCCCCTGGCTGTGTACTCGTGGTCACCAACTGTAGTTGGACCCTCTGGACTTCCTAGCAGACTTAGTGTAGTTCTCCCAGGTTCCAGAATGACCATTTCAAACTGTCTTCACTCCACTCAGACCTTCACCCCTGCTTGCCAACCCCATCTGTATTCACTGCCAATGACCAGCCCAACCTTGGTCCTGATCTCAGCGCTAAAATACACATAGACCATTAGGGAGATTCTCTCTCAGACTATGACTTTCTTCCATCTGCAACTATTTGCAGTCTTCCCTTAGCTAAAGTGGGGAAATGCCTTTCTCCTAATTAAAGACAGGCAGGGCAGGTGTACTGATGCCCACCTTTGATCCCAGTACTCAGAATGCAGAGGCAGGTGAATCTCTGTAAGTCCAAGGCGAGCCTGGCCTACATAGTGAGTTCCAGGCCAACAGAGTGACACAGTAAGACCCTGTCCAAAAACAAAGACTTGGGAGGGAGGTAACCCATTTACTTGTGTCCTAAAGCAGTACTGCCCAGTGGAACTTCCTGCATTAACAGAAATGTCTGTGTGTGTGCTGACCATTTAAAATATGGCTTCTAGTGCCAGATAGATAACTCAGCAGTCAAGAGCAGTGACTGCCTTTGCAGAGGACTTGGGTTCAGGTCCCAGCACCCATGTGGTGGCTAACAACCATCTGTAACTCCAGTTCCAGGGGACTCAGCACCCTCTTCTGACCTCCACAGCCATTGCACAATACAGGTGCACTTATATGCATGCAGGCAATACACTTAATACACGTAAAATTTAAGGAAATTTTTAAAA